ATGTCTGGGGTCAGTGTTCCACATGTCTGGGGTCAGTGTTCCAGATGTCTGGGGTCAGTGTTCCACATGTCTGGGGTCAGTGTTCCACATGTCTGGGGTCAGTGTTCCACATGTCTGGGGTCAGGGTTCCAGATGTCTGGGGTCAGTGTTCCACATGTCTGGGGTCAGTGTTCCACATGTCTGGGGTCAGTGTTCCAGATGTCTGGGGTCAGAGTGTTCCAGATGTCTGGGGTCAGTGGTCTGATCTATCAGAAACAGATGGGGGACAGGACACCCCCGTCTGATCCTCTGCAGATGCTGAATCTACGAGAGGAGACTTTTTTTTATAGTTTGATGGAGCTGTTGTTTTGGTACAAGGTTTTGTTTATTAATTTATTAAAACTTAATTTAACCAGTTTTAATGATAGTAGTCAATAATTTCCCAAATCCAAACTTACTCAGATCTTGAAAAATAAAACCGTGTTCTACCGTATCAAATACTTTATAAAAAAGTCTAAGAATAAAATGAAACCTTTATTGTGAACAAAATCAGGGTAATCTAAAATGTCCAAAACGAGTCATTTTATTTTTAATATGTCTGTTTTTCATAAAACATAAAAGACAGATTTGAATCTTTTAGCAACAACTGAAGCAAATATTTATTAAGGAGAAAATAAGTTCATTCAACCTTTAATTAGTCAGGTTAATCCCACTGAGCCTCGAGGACTCTTTGCAGAGAGTGGTGAAGGCTGCACAGAAGATGTTGGAGTCAGTCTCCCCACCATCACAGACATCTACACCTCCAGATGCAGGAAGAGGGCCACCTGCATCATGAAGGACCACACTCACCCAGCACACACTTTTTGCCCCGCTCCCCTCAGGAAGGAGGTTGAGGAGCATTAAGTGTAGAACCACTAGACTGAGGAACAGCTTCTACCCTGAGGCTGTTAGACTCATGAATCTCTAACCAGAATAATCACTGTGAAAAATCACATCATGTTGCTGCTGATCTGTTTCATGTTGCTGCTGATCTGTTTCATGTTGATGTGTTCATACGTGCTCATCTACTCACACAGACTCATGCTCATGTTCGTGCTGCTGT